ATATATATAGACAATTATATTTTTACTTTTCTACTTTTAGATGGACGTTTATTGTCGCAATTTGTATACAAAGTCAAAATTAATGATTTAGTGTTTGAACATACATCGAATTTAGTTTTATTTACGAGTAAGAAATGGACTAATACTGTGGAATGATATTGTGAAATAAAAATAATAATAATAACTGGAAGAGTGAGGGTGTCTCAACCATAAGGGAGAGGAAAAGAGAGTGACAGACAATATTGACTATATAGACAAAGTAAGACAATGTATATTTATCATTCAATTTAATAGAATATTTGTTTATTTTTTTTAGTTGATATAATTTGTTTCATTTGGACTTAAATTTGAGATCATCTAAAGTTTGTGACTAAAGTGACTGCCTACGGTTAATCTCTATATATTGATCCACAATTATACAATTATACAAATACAATGACACAAGTTTTTTTTTCTTAAGATAATGACAAGAATATATATTATCGCTACTAAATTTTTGCAATAGATATAATTCAATACGACTTACTATAATGTATCACCTACTTTTTCTTATCATATATTATAATTGTTAGTGTTACCAAAATAAATTGTACTCTTTTATAATTTATATAATATAATTTAAATGTCATTTTCTTATCATTTTAGGAAATTATATTAACTTACATTCGCATGAGTTACGTGGAAAAAGTAAGTAATTTGTTATTGACATAAGCATTAACAATTATTGTGCATATTTGTAACTTTACATAAGGTGATCGATCTTGCACGTTATTCTGATCACCGTCTAAATTATTTTGCAAATAAATGAAGTTAAATTTATTTAGCAAATTAAAAAAAGTGAAAAATATGTGGACCTAATTTGAAGGTAAACGCATGCGCGGATCGAAATTGAGTCATTTTTGTATTTTTTTCATGAGTATTTAATTTATATTTTTAATTTTAATTGAACATATTTTTTGTACATGTTTATTTCAATTATTATAAATAGTAGTAATAATATCTTTAGTTATTAATGAATAAAATTCTATCATTATCAAAATATTTTAGGCAAAAAATTCAAGGAGTGTTATCAATGTGACAAATACATTGAATATCACAAATGTTTTTCAAGTTGAATTTATTTAATTTAAAATCATTTATTACAAAATATATTGTATTTTATAATCACACCCAGTTATATGTTATTGTTTCTATGGTCATGGATTTCTGTTGTCTGATGATTAT